TGTGTGTGTGTGTGTGTGTGTGTGTGTGTGTGTGTGTGTGTGTGTGTGTCCTTGTTTATGCTACTTTGTGAGGCCCATTTTTCCAACTTATACTACATTGTGGGGACCAACTGCTCCTTATGGGGCCCAAAGCCCGGGCCCCATAAGAAGAAGTCCCGTTGGTGGGTTAGGGGCTAGGTTTAGGACTAAGGTGTGAATTGAGGATGTGTTAGGTTTAGGGTTAGGTATGTACTGGTAATGGTTAGGTTATGGATAAAGGTCATGGTTAGGCTATAGAAATGAATGAAAAATGAATGGAAGTCAATGCAAAGGCCCCACAAAGATAGCAAAACAAACCCGTGTGTGTGTGTGTGTGTGTGTGTGTGTGTGTGTGTGTGTGTGTGTGTTTGTAAACATACATGCCCATCATACACAGATCCACATATTTTTCATTAGTTCCACAGAAATATTAGTCACAATACAAACGTTAAAATGATCAGAAAATCAACTTTAGAAAGGCAGGAGTTTTTATTTTTATTTTTTTTATCAATGAGCACTAATTTTCTGTACATTTTGTTAGAATCTCTTTAACAGGCTTTGAACTTAACTACCTTTGATGTGCCTTCCTTATCCCATCTACATATGGTCTCCTCTGGCCTCCACATTTTACTGGTGCAGCACAGAGCAGGGGATAAATGATCAAACAGGCTCCACAAGCTGTTCTGTATTCTGAACAGAAGACACACTGGCAGGCAAACAGAGAGGTGGGGGTTGACAGGAAACCCAAAGAAGGTTGTTGAATGAAGGCTTTGCCTCAGGCTGACCCCACCTCATCTCACAAAAGATGACAGACGATAAAGAAAACTCCCTCAATTGTCTGCTTTCATCATCAGACTAAAACAAAATGTGATCAAGTGTGTTCATAAAGAAAATCCATTCACTTCTCATCAATCAGTTAAGCAACTCAAACAATTCACTTCTGTCTTTTCTTTGTTTGATGGTATATTTTAATTTACTGACATGTTTTTATCCAAAACAAAGTTTTACAAGTGATACTTGTCTTTATAATGTGTATGTAGCTTATTTTATTTGCTACTTGAAATGAGAGTAAAATCCCTCTTTGAGCAAGAGACCTATATTAATTTTTTTATTTTTTTATTTTGCAATTCAATTCAATTTAAGCTTTATTTATACAGGTTAGTCTCGTTGATCCTCGAGGACTCATTTATAAGAAAGACCTGTTTTAAACAAAGAACACAGATGACAACTGTAGACAATCATAAAAAGCATATAAAATGAAAAGTAAATGGAAGAAACTATATAAAAAAAAGAAACAAAAACAGCTACATTATAAAGCGGTGTAAAATATTAAAAACAGGAACATGTCTGCATTGGTTTTTGCCATGAGCTTAGCAGCTGTTTAAAACCCCTTAGTGGGGTCAAGGTCGAGAGCTTCAGATCTTTTTGCAAGGTGTTCCAGGATACACGAGCGGATAAGGAGAAGGCCCTTTTGCCTAGTTCGGTCTGCACTGAGGGAACACTGCAGGTATGTCCTGAGAGCGCACGCTGTAGCTGCACTCATGTGACATTCATTAAAGATGGCTGCGCTCAGTCGAGTCGCAGCTTCACAGGCTCCTGGTGAACTCGATCTTTTTTTGTGTTGTTTTTGTTTTAACCTTTTTTTGCACCTACAATGTACATCCGCAGTAGGGGTATGATCACGACACACTTGTGGAGTTTTCTGTGTCGCTGCTTTGCCATCGTGGTTCAGTCCTTCCAGCCTTGGGCTCAGGCTTATTATGGTGGCTGTCTCCATGATCCTTCATCTGCCTGCATGGACCGAACTCTACGGACCCGTTCGGTTCCGTGGGGAGACCTTGATGTTCTCCGTCTGCTGGACCCGGTTCTGGAAGGATGTCTGGGAGGGCAGCTGCTGTGGTCATTGTTACTATCAGGGTGCTGACAGGGCCTGCTAACTAGACTTGCCAACCTGTTAGTGCTGCTAACAAGATCCTCCATCTGCCTGATCGGACCGAACTCTGCGGACTCGCTTGGTTCCGCGGGGGAACATTGGATGTTCTTTGTCTGCTGGACCTGGTCCTGGAGGGCATTCAGGGAGGCTGCTGCGGTCCTTATTATCATAATGCTGCTGAAGGGACCTGCTAACGCTGCTAACAACACCACGCCGCTAACCAAACCACACCGCTAACAGTATCATGCTGCTAACTGTACCATGTTGCTAAGATAACCTCACTGTTAACAGTACCATGGTGCCAACAGGACCATGTTGCTAAGATAACCTCACTGTTAACAGTATCATGCTGCTAACTGGACCATGTTGCTAAGATAACCTCACTGTTAACAGTATCACACTGCTAACTGGACCATGTTGCTAAGATAACCTCACTGTTAACAGTATCATGCTGCTAACTGGACCATGTTGATAAGATAACCTCACTGTTAACAGTATCACCCTGCTAACTGGACCATGTTGCTAAGATAACCTCACTGTTAACAGTATCACACTGCTAACTGGACCATATTGCTAAGATAACCTCACTGTTAACAGTATCACGCTGCTAACTGGACCATGTTGCTAAGATAACCTCACTGTTAACAGTATCACACTGCTAAC